ATGGCCAGCGGTGAGGGGGAGAGAAGCCGCCCCCAGGACGAGCTGTGACGGCCGCACGGCTCGCGCACCCCTAAGGCCGGCCCTGTGTATAGATGAGTACATTGAGTGTAGTCTGAGCATTGTGCGTCTGTAAGCGGAGTGCACGTTGTGCGTCTGTACGCGGAGTGCACGTTGTGCGTCTGTACGCGGAGTGCACGTTGTGCGTCTGTACGCGGAGTGCACGTTGTGCGTCTGTACGCGGAGTGCACGTTGTGCGTCTGTATGCGGAGTGCACGTTGTGCGTCTGTACGCGGAGTGCAGGTTGTGCGTCTTGGCTCCTCCCTCTAACCCCCATCTTGTCTCGCAGGTGATGAGCGTACAATCTTGGCTACTTCCAGACTTGTCCGGGCGCCGGCCTGGCACGGGGCCGCCGGTGAAGCTTCGGTTTGAACGCGACGCGTCTTTTCTCTTCAGAATTGGGGCGAATGTAATGAGAATGGAGGCGGAGTCGGGGGAGGGGCAACACCTCCTTATATACCCCGGAGGCCTTCCATGTCTCTTCTGTGACGGGCAGCCACGGAGAGCGGGGGAGGGTGACCAGCCCGGGACCACCTCACTGTCGTGTACTTTGTGTCACCACATTCATGTATTCAGCCGAGTTGTCGCGTAGAATTTGATGTTTTGTGGGTGGAAAACGGCGAAACGTGCCGTGGAAGCCCCTCCCACTGGTTTCCTGTCATGTGATGCCGGATTCTAAGGGGGGCTCCTATTAAACTCTGCAATCACAATATGGCTTCCTTCCTTTTATTGGGTTCAATGAGTATTCCGGGGGTACAAGGAGAGTATCCGACGCTAACCACGCCCCCTAAACCCCGCCCATTATACAGCACCCTTTATAGCCACGCCCAATCTTCCCCTATGTCACGTGCAGTGGGCCCTCTTCCTCCGACGGGCCCCGGACCCCCTGTCATGGGGGATCACCGAGAGGTCTTCAGTTCGGGAAGGTCCATCGCCTCGGCCAGTGCTGAGCTCAGCGTGCGGACAATCACTCCCATCGGGATCTGGATTACAATTCCCAACGGGAAGAGTTCTCTGATGGCTCTGATCCGAAGTCTGTGTGAACGAGCCCGCGGATCCGCCGGAGTCTCCCGTCCATCTCGCGCATAGAGTTCCGTCTCCATCCGAACCGCGGCGGGCCCAAAGCCGGACTCCATGTTGTCGATGTGATTTGTGGGGGGATGGGGGGCCCTGCTGAGCTCATTGTTCTTCTAGTTGAGTCCAGGGGGGGAGGGGAGGGGGAGATGTTATCTATGGGGACCAATCAGGTTTCAGCTTCTATACCTTGGAAAGGAATCTGATTGGAGAATAAACGGCTTGTCTCCCATTTCCCAGGGTTGTGTATTTAACCCTTTAGACTCCCCTCGCCGGTACACGCCGGCCCCTCCGTAACCCTAAGTGCCGGTAGCGCTGAGAGATGAGCGGTCACAGTGACCGGTAGGAGATCCCGCCTCCTAGAAGTGGCTGAAGCTGATTGATGGACTGAGATTGGCCAACTGCTTCCGGTGTCTATGGAAGGTTTCCTTTCCTCC